ATTAATTAAATAGATAATATTTAACGCACAGAAACAAAAAAGAAAAAAGAAAGATGCATGATAGAAAAGATTATGCTACACGTAAAATATTCAACAATCGATAATTTCCATAATGAAGAAATGATTTAATTAAATAATCTAGTTGAAATTAACTATGCACAACATTTGCTATCATCATGATATTGAAATAATCGCGGGATTTTTTATTATTTACCACAAAATTAGATGAAAAGAAAACGGTCGATGAATAAATTTCCATGAAAATGATAAATGAATTTTTATTTTCATTTTCATATTTTACAATCAAACAGTCATACATAATAAATACAATATTATTTGAGTATATTCGCGAATTATAATTATAATATATCGGATACCAGTTGTGTTACATAAAAATATCGGATAACATTCGTTCTCCAAGAACATTTATCCGCCTTTTTGTTTTCGTTCGTTTCCGATTGAAACGTGAAAATAATGATCAAAAATAAGAGAAATACTTTGCACCTCAACGGGTTCACCGACTAAAAATTTGCACATTCAATTATAAAAAAAGATATCGGAAATGGTGAAAATTTCTTCGTTAGTATCAAGAGAAATGCCAATATAAATTAATCTTTTTTAAGCGAAATGGCAAAAAAATTTCAAACTCCAATTTATTCAAACAAAATACATGAAATTTAACGCATTCAAATTTTTATTCACTGCATATAACTTAACAGCTGGTGGAAAAAAAAAGAATGATACATTGATGTTAAAAAAAAGAAGGCTAAATAAAATTAGCCATATTATTTAGTGAAGTTCAAATGTCAATATCTAAAGACTGTATAAAATATGGCTAATTTTATTTAGCCTTCTTTTCTTAACATCAATGTATCATTCTTTTTTTTTTTAATACATTGTATCATCATTTATGATACAATGTATATTATTTATTAATTGCTAAGATTAACATGAAACATTAAAGTATTTTGAATATTTTTTAGTTATCTATCTGATACTCTTCCATGAAATAATCAGAAATTAAACACAAATTTGATAATTGTAAAATTTAATTTGGAAAATACAATAGAAATTTGTATTTTCCAAAAATTATCCATCCATTTATAATTCATGCTTGTTGAGATTAAATTATATCAATACATAAATAAATTACAACAATCAGATATACAATAACAAATTGAACATCAAAAAAAATAATGATATAATTATAACATGATTAATATTCTTAACATGCGAATGAAATAATCAATGCAACATTATCACATTTAACCCAATAACTTATAATTAATTAATCTGAAATAGCTAAAAAATCCTTCATCTTCACTGCCCTATATTTTCATTACTTTCAATTATCTTTCATTGTTTCTGGTTAATATTCTTTCATTCTCAAATACACTTTATTCCATTATAATCATTTAAATAATAGTGAACTCATTTGCATACTTTTTGTAAATTATCCGTTTAATCTTAATTTTTCACTAGATTTCTTATACCATTTCACTCAAATTTATCAAATTCCATATTAATTTAAGTTTCTTTCTCGTTTTTTTCCGATAAATTTAATAGTTTGTTGCTTTTTTACTAATCAAAATTTATTTCCTTCAAAAATTCATGCGTTCATGGGTGTGTACGTGTGTATGCGCGCGTATACGTGTATGTGTGTGTGTGTGTGTGTATATATGTGTGTTGTATATGTGCGTGTGTGTGTATGTGTGTGTGTGTGTGTGTGT